GTCCTTAGTCGGTTTCCTATATATGAAGTTCGTTCTTAGGTGTAGCTGAGAGCTCTAATCTACTTACGCTTCTTTATTGCTAAGCACCAGCCGTTCCATGGTTGCTTTGACCATTTGCCTGGTGGTCAACCTTCTGATGATCCTAATATTTCTTTCCAAATTACCGACTCGATGGCTTTCCGGGAAAAAGCAATTGGCAAGATTTCAACTAGTTGGTGATTCAGCAGTGCGTTCTATGTGTCATCATCTTGTCCCTGAGTGTTGTTACTTTCAGACCACATTGATGCACATTGCCATCTGGAAGCATTGGTGGTTCCATTTAGCACATTCTGTAAACCTTGGTCTGCTTTTAAAGTTAAACCCAGTTTTTAGAGTTTATTTATAAGCTGAATCGCTGAGTAGCTCCATCGATCAGTGTGAGCATACATTTTTGTTATCAGTTGTTGCGAACTCAAAATCGAGTGTGATCGCACTTGGATCGGTAGTAATTTATAAGTATATTTCTCAAGCCATGCAGCTATCAAATTTTCCAATTCCTTTGACCAATGCTACAGCGTTGCCTGGTGTTCCGCCCGCTGCTCGCAATCCTGGCAACCATTTCGTCTCCTGAAGGGATTACCACTTCAAAAACTCTCTTCCGTAATGCTTTTGCTGTTTCGAGACGTCTTTTATGCATGTTAAGTATCAAAATCTCGTTTCAAACATAGTCACTATTTCTAGACCACGATTTGGTGCCTCTTACTGATTGGAAGCAGTGCAAGTTTTTCTGAAACTGATTTATTGCGAATCAATTTATTAAATTTATACTCAAACAATATTTGCTGTACCACTTGAGTAAAGAAGTAACTCAGATTCTGCAACAGGGATTTAAGTATTTAAATACTTAAATCCCTGCACAACTTGAGCGAATCAACAATTTAAATAATCGAAAAGGATTTGAACATATGTTTTATTTAATTTATTTCCTGAGTATTCAGTTTAATTTAAACTTTGGTTTACTTCAAAATCAAAGCTTCCTGCTTAGTTCATGGATAGTGGCATTCAGAAGTAGTCAAACTAGCTTCCATTAACCAAGTTTTGTCTAAAACCAGTCTAAAGGCGTCTCCCTTCCTTTAAATCCTTTACTAGACTTGACAAATCTAATGTCCATCGTATCAAAATATCACTAAAACCAATTGTTTTGTAAGGTGTGGATTCGTTTGCTGGCTTGGTTTGCCATCGCGTCGGAAGTTACTGCACTAGTCATCGCTGTAAAAGTTAGCTGGCGTAGAAATATTCCTCGATAGGTGTCAGAGCGCCATATTAATAAATAATAATTATAAGAATAACTTGCGACAGCAAGTAAACCAACATACACCGATATTTTCGTCTGCAACACTATTCCATTGGTTTTACTGCTCGGATTACTTTCAAGAGTTCACAAAGAACGAAATACAGTGGAGATTATGACTTTAACATCGGGAAATTTTGATTATTTGAATCCTGAAAAATCAGAAAAACAAACAAAGGACTAATCAGCCATACACAAAGGCCTAGCTTTTTTCGGCCAGTCAACTTATAAAAAAACAGTCTAGTTGATGATGTACAATTTATTTACCTGTAAGGTAGGTGAGATGGGCAAATTTTTGGTGATGAATATGAGAAGTGTAGCCGTGACCATGGACACTGCATAAAGAGCGGTCATCAACGTCAGGGTCAGCGTCATCCTCTGTCTATTACGATGAAAACCCTGGTTCTTTAAATTACCTAAAAACTAAAAATTAAATGAAGAAAAAAAATTACCTAAAAACTAAAAATTGCCCGGAAAAATGAACCAAATCTGAGGTCGCGAAAGAAATGTCAAAAACACCAGAAGGATGACCACCAGGCTATGTAGCAAGGGTTGAAGCAACTACGAAATTTTAAGCGAAATGGACATGGCTGCCATCGGTCATACCATTGGAGAGAGTCCTGCACATGAGTCAGTGATGAATCAGTAGCCTTTTAAAGTAGTCGTTTCAAGTAACTAGAAGAATCGTTTTGATCTTTAAAATTGACTGAACCATCGGTGAAAAACTCTTTATTCATACTCATAGACAAGTGTAAATTCCTTTCACAAAATTTTTTCAAGACATTCATTTCCCGCTAAGAAAAGAACATCTAGGTTTCGATCAGAATCACCATAACCTCCTAATCTCTCGAAAACGAGATTTTTTTTAACATTTAGGCTTACCAAATTTGCTGTTGCAGAACAGCTTGATAACAATAACAATGTTCAGTATCAAAATGAGCAGCTGCAATACAGTACACGTGCTTGTCCATGCGAAACTAAGCCTTGGCACAAGTGCTAATGGCGGATCGCATGGATTTACTGCCTTAAATTTAGTTATTTAATGGGGCACTTAGTTTGATCGATTACAAATTGTTTAAACAAAAAGTACGCGATTTTTATGCGTTTTGTGCTGTGTAGCAGCCGAAATATTAGAGCAATGACCCACTTCCCACGAACGAACTTGCAAATACATATTCAGCGTTCCCGCACTCTCGGGTATCATTTACGGGCTAGTGAAATTTTCTGTGGATAAATTATTATCTCAGGAACCACGAAGTCTGCAAAGCTGAAATTTTAGGGTAATGACCCTGCCCACGTTCAACCTTGCCTATTCAAATTCAGCTTTCCCGCGCTCTCGGGTATCACCTACGGCCTCGTAAAAATTTTGTCAGGTGAATTATTAACTCGAGAATCACGGAAAGATATTCACTCTTCAAGGTTTCAAACTCAGCTTTCATGCATAGGTGCGTGAAATTTTTAACTGTTTTCCAGTGTTTGAACTATTTTTGCATAGACTAAAGTACAAAGTAGTGAAAATCATTGATAGGCAATCGTTCAATGGGCTGAATTGCACAAAACGCGTGATTGCACCGGTTAGTCTGGTGCGCGTTGCTATTTATTCCAAATGCTTTGACCAAAGATGCATTGCCTGATGATCAACTTACTGGGAAAAAAAACGCCTGGTGATCAGCCTACTCAAAATAATTATTTTGCTTTGAGACTTGCGCATCATTACCTTGGTATAGGATTGCAGATGATTAGGCACCGTTTTGCTTGACTCAAAAATGAGAGAAATGAAAAAATTTGATACCTCTGCATCCATCAAAAACGCATTGATTATAATGAACGGAATTGAAAATACACTTGCTAAAAACAAGACTCCAATCACATAATATTTACTGTGCAGTGCTTGATATCTGCAAAATTGCATTGTTAAATCAAATGTTTGTTTTGCTTCGATATTTTGATTTGCTTACAACTATGCAGATGACAACTTTTTCAGTTGCTTTGACCAGTGCTGCATCGCTCGATGGTCAGCCTGGCGATCCTGACGTTCGTTTCTTGCCCTGAAGGAATTAATAGTCGAACAGCTCTCTTGACAGGTTTACTTTGGTAAGGCTTTGGCAATGCTACTGCTGGTTGTTTAATGAATATCATCGCTTCGCCTCCAACGTTGTGATTAGTAGGCCAAGACGAGGTATCCTGTCGACTAAGAGGAAACAAAAAGTCAAATCTATGAAAAATGAAAGAGCCAGAACACAAATATTTTACAAATTTTTTTGTATTTATTGTGTACCAAAGCAAATCATGCTATCAATATTTATAAAACTGTGCAATGGTAGCAGTTTTTCATTATTCAATGAAGCAATAAAAGATCGGCACCAGTTTTTTTTGCTTCATTTAAGGCACCTGTTTCAGGATGGTCAAAGTTTTTTCACTCAAAAATTGCAAAGAAAAATCGAATCTCCAGGCATACTTCTTAACTATAGAAGGTGAAGACGCTCGAAAATAGCCAAGTGGTAGCACAAAGTTAGCATTTGAACATTTTTTCATGAACCGTAAGAAAATAGCTGGTCTCCAGAAAATGCAAAAATGAATTTACCGGAAAGGCCAGCATACAGCGACAAAGCGATTGAATGCAATATATAGGAGGATGATGAGTTCACAATTGAACACGAAGAGATATATTATAATTAAGTGAAAGCACTTTTTTCGAGGCATTCTGGAGTGATGCGTTAAAATGAGTGCAGCATCCATTCCTTCCATTAGACATGAAATCTAAAAGTCCGTTTGATCAACGGGCTTTTTTGCCAGCAAAATTCAAAATCTATTTGGCACTGAAGGCTGGGTTTAAGCAGAATTATAAGCACCAATGAATGGATGTAAGTTTGGAAGCATATCGGAAGTATTAAAAACCGAAATCA